AACCATAAGTTCTCTTTTGCGATTAGGAAAACCGCGCTCAGATCAAAAATCAAGGCCGCTCAGAGTCACTTTAAGCTCACCAGCAAATGCGTTATTGATCCTCAAGAATAAATCGAAATTACCCTCAACCCCACCAAACAATGTGTATATTAAGGCTGATAATACTCCGATGCAATCCAAATACTTCAAGGAAGTTAAAGCTGAACTTGACCGTCGAATTCAAGCGGGAGAAAATGACATAACAATAAAATATATGAACAAGGTCCCTAAGATTGTGAAAACTGGAAACATTAATCGAGCGAACTCAAAAAGAAGCCGCGACGAGGGAGACTCACCGCAACGCGACCAAGGGTTGAAAATATCGAAACCTGCATCAAAACCAACATCCTCGCGCAATGGAATCTAGCAACCAATATCAATGATTTTCTGGAATTGTCAAGGCTTTGCTAATCTTTCGAATTTTGTACACGATTTCCATGATATTGAATTATTTGATGTGATTTGTCTCACAGAAACATGGCTGCAGGACGAGTTTTCTCATTCTCCAGATTTATTATTGAACTATAATGTAATTAGCTCTCCAGCATTGAAAGAAAAGTCTTTTGGCAGAGCCAGTGGGGGAATAAGCTTATTCTATAAAAAATATATGAATATCTCAATAATCAACAGATCCCCTTGGTGGCTTTGCTGCCAACTGAGTTTTCGCAATGAAAAAATTATAATTTGTGCAATCTACTTCAAACCTTCTCTTGATTTACCAATTGTTTTAGAATCCTTTCAAGCAGTTCTATCAGAAATAATAGAAACGTATGAAAATACTTCAATATTAATCGCAGGGGACTTCAATTGTAGGGTTTCTGAATTAGGCACTATTCCGATAGAGCTACTTGAAAACACAAATTTGAGTGAGAATCGATCAAGCAATGACAAAATCGTAAACTCGAGAGGTCGCTGTATTGTTGAGTTCATGTATGAAAACGCATTCAGCTTATTAAACGGCAGAACAATCTCGGATACTCCCGCTCAATTCACGCATGTTGACAGAATTGGAAATAGCGTTATTGACCTAGCTTGGGTGAATAACGACAGCCTTAGTATTATAAAAGATATGGAAATACTCAATGAGTTCACTGTTTCGGACCATTTTGCTCTCTCTGTTTCACTGAATGTTTTTTTTGAATCCAAACCGAATGAAAACTTGAAAGTGAAATACTCATCGCCCTCTTTCAAATGGAATAACGAGCTGGCACTGCAATATAAAATTATGATGCAAAGATCAAGCAAGGTAGGCCATTTAGGTTCAGTACAAGAGTGTTACTCAAATATGATTTCGGCTATTACAGACACATCTACTAGTCTCAATTTAATCAAACACCCCACTCGCAATACACCCGCGCAACGGAAAAATATATGGTTTGATGCTGAATGTCAGAGCGCAAAATTGAAAATGAAACAAGCTTTAAAATTATGCAAGAAAAACAACTTTACGGAAGAGAACAAAATTGCATATCTAGATGAATATAGAAGGTACAAGTCCCTAGTTAGAAATAAAAAACAAAACTATTTTGAAACAATAACGAACACTTTATCTAATTGTAAGGACTCCAAAAATTTTTGGTTAACAATAAAAAAATTTCGTGGTACTAAAGCTATTCCAAATATTACCGTTGAAGCTTGGGAAACATTTTATACTGATATCTACCCAACCAGAATCATAGATAATACAATATTCTTTGATGTTTCTCACCCTTCCCTCGATGGCCCAATCAACCCTTCTGAGATATACAATGTATTAAATTCCTGTGGTAATAACAAGACGCCTGGTTCAGATGGCATCCCGTATGAGTTTTACAAAAGTCTCCCGAACAATTGGGTTCTATATATTACATATTTATTCAATCAAATTATGGAATCACATTCGATCCCACAAACCTGGAACGAAGTTATCATGAAAATGTTACATAAAAAGGGGCCCATTGATGATCCCACCAACTATCGAGGTATAGCCCTCATCAACTGCCCAGAAAAAATATTTACACATATAATCAAGAACAGATTGAACAATTGGGCTGAAGAAAACAACATGCTACCCGAATCGCAGTCTGGATTCAGAAAAACAAGGGGATGTATTGACAATATATTTGTTTTGAGCTCTATCATACAACTGCACCTGAGACTAAAAAAACGGAAAATCTTCATTGCTTTCGTGGATTTCAAAAGGGCCTTTGATTCTATAAGTCATTCGCTTCTCTGGCAAAAACTGTTTCATCTAGGTGTTAGCGGTAGGCTCATTACGCTCGTTAAAAAAATCTACGAAAATGCATCTATGAGAGTTATAGGAATGGAGGGTCTGGCTCGTCCTGTGGATATCACGACAGGTGTGCTTCAAGGTGAAACCTTGAGCCCTTTACTTTTCTCCTTGTTTCTTGCCGACATCGAGAAGTTTTTCGTAGCTGCAGATGCTAAAGGAGTGAATATTGATGGCTCGAACGAAGTGATGATGCTTCTCTACGCGGACGATCTTATTCTTATCTCCGACAGTGAAGTTGACTTGAAACGTAAACTCAAAATTCTCAGACAATATAGCGAGCGTAATTTACTTACCATAAATGTGAACAAAACAAAAGTTATGGTTTTCTCTAGGGGCCCCTCTCTTCCAAGTTCCTATAATTTCTACTATGGTGTTGATAAAATAGAAACCGTTAAATCGTTTGTATACCTCGGTGTGAAATTCTCATCGTCATCTTTCTTTCGAGAAATGTCCTACTGTACAGTCGAAAAAGCGAAGCAAGCAATAGGTTCGGTAATACCGATTATAACTGGAACAAGAATCAACTCATGGTATTCTCGTGTCCAGTTGTTTGATTCATTAGTGACTAGCATAGTGACCAACTGTATACCTGTATGGGGACTTCGATATGCAGAGGTACTGGAAAAAATCCAAATAACTTTTTTCAAAAGAATTTTGTTGCTTCCAAGAAACACCGCAGATTTTGCGGTACGATTGGAGACAGGAAGATCTAAAATTGCGTACCTTATATTCAAACATGCATTGAACTGGCTTATAAAAATTTTAGAAATGGGAACCGAGCGTCTCCCAAAGATTTGCCTTTCACAAAATATCAAGTTGGCAAATGTAACACACTCGAACTATAATTGGGCAAATCAGATTAAGAAATGCCTCGATTATGCAGGATGCACTGAGCAATGGGGAGAAATGAATGTCATCAACCTAAAAAGGAAGAGAGAGTCATACCTTACTACTTACAAAAATAAACTTCGAGAAGAGGATCTGACGTTACTGAACCAATCGTCCTATTTAACGTTTTACAAAAATCTAAGATTAAATAATAATAATAATGCACAAGATTATCTCCAGATTAGACTGCCACCTCATATTACCCGTGTTATTGCCCAACTCCGTTTATGTAATGAATATATAATCAAATTCAACATCAAAGGATACTCATATAGCATCAACCCAAAAGAATTATGTACAGCCTGCAATCAAAACCGCCACGAAACAATTTTTCACATTCTTTTTGAATGTCCAATTTATGTTTCTATCAAGCCGTCAAACCTTATGTATCTCGCCGATGCAGACACTTTCATGAATGCACTCGACAATATGACGCCCTCTATTGCAAAATCGATGTACTCACATATATGGAATATATTGAAACTGCGATCTTTCATACTGAATGAGTAATGATTTTATATATAATGTAGGCAAAGTCACTTTCATTATAACTATTTTCTCTTATTATTATCATTATTATAGGCATATATATATATATATATATTTATAACTAATACTAACAACTAACCTCTTTGTTATGAAATATTATTTTCGGAAACAAATAAAGATTGAATTGAACTCCTCATTTGTAAACTCGACCATTATTTTTCAAAATAACAATGCTCGAATATTTTAAACACTAAATTAATAAGACGCGAAAAACTGAATTTGAAAATTGACGAACTGTCATACAAAATAATGACAACTGTCTTGACCATAGAATTAATAATTCTTACAGACACAGCCTACTACAATGAAAAGTAATAATTTCAAAATACCAAGTACGAATACGAAGTTCATAAACTATGAATTGTATTTCTGAAATTTGACCTAAAAAATAAAATCTATTTCTCTGCATTGTGATATTGTCATATTAAGGATATTGTTATGATCATGCAGTGAAAAGGTTTTTATTTTTTTTAAGCGAAAACCCTGCATCAGATTGAAAAAATTGTAGAGATCAAATTTGCTTAGAAATGATTGAGAATCTCAAGAATTATTTCAATTTCGAGATTAATCAGTGGCGTACCATCAATGTCTGCCAAAATAGGTATGTGAAATTCCATACGAACGCCACTGGTGGCAACAAGAAAAAATGTGGTACACTAACTGATGCCTCTTGATACCTAGTACACGTATACCAAATTTCATTAGAATATTTAAAGTGGTATTACAGATATTAATAAAAAACTATTTATTTTTGAGAACTTTACCACCCTGTATCTCAAAAGTTAAGACGTTTAGGTCATACGTTCATATGAAATTTTCTTCTTAAAATGGGCCCAAGAATCGCCTCCTCAAATATTGACATTCAATTAGGAAACACCCTGTATAGTCATTTTAAAAGGCATAGAAAAAGCAGGAAAGTTTTGGTATAGTGTTCTGATATAGGGTCCCTGATATTTTCTGGCATCATGCTATACACGAATAAAAAGTTTTCCTACACGAAATCAGACTAGAAATATCATTTTCATGAGAAAAACAGTGAAAAACGAGTTTCCTTCAGATGTCTCGGAAAGTTCTCGAGAACAATCTATATAATTTTCGTAAATGATGATTACCTTTGGAATTCCTAAATTATTATTCATCCGATTAACGGTTTCACTTTGGAAAAGATGGAAACAGAATTCTTGATACCTATATTATGACATGAAATAGTTAATTGCTGAATATATTTATAAATAGATGAATTTGATTTCAGGTTTGGTCAAGCTGATGTCAAAGACTGATGTTGAGAACGATAATTTCTAAAACTTCGAAATAGTATGGATGATGCAATATAGAATAATATGGTAAAGGCGCGAGTGGATCTGTGAATTGTTACATATACAACACATCTCAATAGAGCATTTGACAGATCCGGGATTGAACCCATCAAATTCCAGGAGATTGGTTCAATAAACTGGGGTTCAATGCTTTATTTAGATACTCGCTGGGTAAAGGTGATAGTATTTATTTATTTCCATACATAGATCTTATCTGCTAGAATGCATTTATAAAATAAACTATAAAATAGGTCTGTATTTGTTTTTCTTTTTCTTCGTCATAACAAGGCACAGGTTCAGGACCCATATTTCACTCATATACAGTATGTGGCAATAGTAGTAAGAGTCCGATTGCTTCGGTTCTATGACAGCTAGGAAAATAAATGTAAACTATACACAACATATACACTGAAAAAAATTGAGTGAAATCAAGGTCCACGCAATAATGAGTCGATTTCGGTCCACGCCCAATTAAGTCGAAATTCTACCCTACTTGACTGTGTATAAAATGGTAATTCATGAGCCGATTCAATCAAATCTGTTATAAACATTCTCATTGATAGGGAAATTTGATGAAATATCTGGTTTGAGTTGAGAATTCACTCAAAAATTTCAATTGAAAATTCACTTACCACCACATATGCATTCACTCAAAGGAATTTTCTACAGGGTCTATGACAATGGATTATCGCCTCATATATAGATGGGGTATAAAAATAAATGTAGTGAGTAGAGGGCAATTTTTTCAAATGAAACAAAAAACATCGGGAATGTTATGTCATTTAAATTGGAATTTTTATAACTGAAGCGTTCCTATTTTACTCTCTGTCGAATCTTTATTCAAAAATCTTAAATTAATATATTTTGAAGATATACCTTTTTAATACCTACATTTTGAAAAGGCATACCTGTACCTATATAGTAACTTTTTATGCTCTACTGCAGCCTGAAAAAAGTTCTTGTCGATGTTTATTATGCAATAGTCAACTAAGTACTTTTCTACAATATTCTCCTGTGGTAGTGATGGTACTACGATTGATCGGGTTTTTATTCGTTAAGAACGCATAATTCGACTCATATATGGTCTGAAATATATACCGAATCATGTAGACCTACTTTCAAAAAACATAAAATTCTAACACTATACCCTCTAAATACATTAACCATTCTGTCATTTAACTTGAAAAACACGAATCCAAGTTCGAAACAAATGGAAATTCTCATACTTATCCTACAAGAAGCGGTAATTTACTGAGGTCGAGACAACACCGCACTCAGATTTTTCGAAAGTCACATTTCACGACAGGTCCGAAGTTCCTTAATTCCCTGCCCTCAGAGATAAAGGAAATATCAACTTTCGCAAAATTGAAGGAAAAACGTGAAGGATTATCTGCTAGAAAGCAGTTTCTATTTTATGAAGGAATTTCTGTAGACAAAAATCTGAAGTGAGGTAGTTGTATTTTTAAAGTGAATGTTTTTAAAATGTTCACCGCCAATCATTGTTTTTGAATGTTCTGAATGTAAGACCCATTTTATCTTCATGTCAATGTTTCAACTTTTATGTGTTTGTATATTTTCTTTATAATGATTTTATACAACTTTTTTTTGACGATTCCTATATAATTTTTTGTATGATCAATGAGAGGAATGAATAAATTTTCATTATTATCATCATTGTTATTATACCTATACAAAAATACGTTCAATCGTTGGGTGGAAGCTGAGGTGAGACGTGGTGAGACCGTACCAAAAATGTGAAAGTGTACCTATGCATATAGGTACTGGTCCAACTGTATGCATAGAATACTTTCACCTTTTAAAATACAGTCGTCTGCGGATAACTTCTGAAAAATAATATCTTGAATAACAGATTATGCAAGCGGGTACGGCATAAATGATTACCAAATGATTTAAAGATATTCAAAAAATGTGGACAAGGTGTAATTTCAATTATCACTATTTTCGTTTGATTACATATATGATTTCCGGCAGAGAATTCACAGACAGTGACCCGAAGAGGTCAAGCAATAGTAATAGATTATACCACGAGTCAATAATGATATACCGGGTGACACAAGAGACATGTAACAGAGTGTAGTTTTTTCATTTGAAGAGATAAGAATTTGAAATTCACAAGGGTTATACAGGGTGTTTCAGTTTTTTGTAGCAGGACTTCAACAGCTTGAAGAAGAAAGTTTTTCAAGATGAAAATCTCATATAAACATATATGCCTGGGAGCTTCGTTTCCGATTCACAGGGTGTCAAAGTTTCAGATTTTTTTTATGTTTTTTGAATTTTCTCCTACAATTTTCAGAATAAATGATTGAAATTTTGGTACACCTAATACACTTCGAAAATTCAATATTTTAGGCTATTGAGCATTTTTGAATACCTACAGGGTCATAGACTTTCGGGGGTCGTACCCAATTTTACCCTGTAGAACTTTTTTGCGTGCCGTCTCTTCTTTCAATGGGACATAGATTCAGATTGTCCTTTCAATTTAGAAACTTTTTGCCCCCATGTAAATTTTTCGAAAACTGTATGGATCTCGAGATAAATTCCAAAAATGTTATAAAACCGTTATTTCTCACTTATTTGATACTTCTCAAACATTTTATTGGAAGATAGAATGACCGAAAGCTTCCATAACAAATGAAATTCAATTGCAAAATTAAATTGAATTTTCTGAACAACATTATAATCAAAACTGGAAAAAACAAAACATAAAAAAAAATCTCAAACTCTGACACCCTGTAAATCGGAAACGAAGCTCCCACGCATATATGTTTGTATGAGATTTTCATCTTAAAAAAATGTCTTCTTCAAGCTGTTAAAGTCCTGCTACAAAAAACTGAAACACCCTGTATAATCGATGATGGAGCATCCCTTGAACTCAATGACAATTTTTTTCAACCACCTGTTTGATCGGGAGTCAACCCAACTTATTTCTTTCAAATGGCACCCTGTATATCTCTGTAGCTTATTTTATTTGCCTTGTAGTTCTCTATTCAACTATATATCACAATTTGATATTCGTTCATTAATTGGCCGTTGAATTGAATTTTATTGAAATACATGAAGTTGGCTGTGGCCCGAATGCAATGACATTTCGATGCTTGATAGGTTTAGAAACCCAAAGATCATTACTAAGACGATATTATCAGGATATTTTCCATACCCTAAGCGGTCCCAGGAGATTGCCAATAATTTCCTTGAGTTTAAAGAAATCATCCGAAAATAACTCTTGATATTGAGAGAACTAAGATAGAAACTCAGTTTTTTCATTTGGCTACTTGTAAAGTTTTTTCATTTGGCTACTTATGGAGAAACTATTTGTTTCCCATTTTTGCCATGTAGCCATAATATGATCATCCATTTGGATACATGAAACTGAAATTATTGTGATAATTGATATATCGTGAGTTATTTCCTTTAACTCGATGAAATTATTGGCAATTTTCTGGGAGCGATTAGGGTATCGAAAATGTTCTGATAATATCGTCTTCAAGTAATGATCATTGGATATCTAAGCCTATCAAGCATCGACATGTCATTCGATTCGGGCAACAGCCAAAAACAACTTAATGTATTTCAATAAAATGCAATTTAACAGCCAATCAATGAACGAGTATCAAATTGTGATACATAGTTGAATAGAAAATTTTGAGGCAAATAAGATGGACTACAGAAACATACAAATTGCTATTCAAAAAGACAAAAATTGGGTCTACTCTCAATCAAACAGATGGTTGAAAGAATTTGTCAATGGGTTCAAGGAAAGCGCCATCATTGATAATATGACCCTTGTGAATTTCAAATTTGAATTTCTTCAAATAAGCAAACTACAGGCTGTTACATGTCTTCTGTGTTACCCGGTATTCTCCAAAAATATTCACTTGTAGTTTTTGCCGAGGTTTTTGCAGAATAATGGCATTATCTGATGGAAGCGATGCCCGAGTTGTCTATGTTGGGAATAGAATTTTAATATGGTTTTCTCTGAATATTGTTAGATTTTCTATAGTTACAAGGAGTTGTTAAACAGTAGACATGTCAGATAGAAAATAAATTTGTCAAACAAAAAGTCATTATTTTTGCAATTATTATTACACAATTCAGATAGGTTTCTTGAACCTTACACACATTAGTATTATTCTACATTAGGTGGGTTTTTGAAATCTATCATTCTATTGGTATCTGATGGCATAATTCTTATCTCGTTATCAAATCTCAAAATCAAGTGTAAATTTCTGCACAGGAAAGTGCAATTTATCAATCGTTTTGCTCAGGATAGGGATTGGCACAGGTGCCGTTCGATAAATTACAAGGTTTTTACATGCAATTATATTTCAAATAATATTTCCAGTGGCGTCACAGTGGGTAAATTTTTCGATATCCATAGTGAATGTCATTGTACACCACCGGTGTTTCTGAGTTTCATATTTTTATTAGATTGAACTATTGAAATAACAACTCTTTCATCCTCTGTGTGATTTTTGTATCAAGACTTCCATTGAGATTATTCAATAACCCCAATTAGAATCATTCTGAAATTTTGGGGCTTTCTCAGTCTTCATCCATACTGAATTTTGGCACCATGCAAGCTCATACAGGGGGGTTATGAATAAAAACAAATAATACTTCCTACTTCAACATCCTATATCTCAAAAACGGAGCAAGTTGAGAGACATGTTTATGTGAACATTATTTCCTAGAATGTCACAAGAAAACACCCTTTGAATTTTTTCGGTGTTATTAAGATACACCCTGTATAGTAGCTATAGGTAAGCACAAAAAAATTAAAAAATAACAAAAAAATATGTTCTGTAGATACGCACATGGCTCAGAACGACTGCATATGTTTTATTTTTTTAAATGGGTATACACCAATCGGGTACTAGTATATATAATTTAATAATTTCTTGCTATTTCATTGATGTCTAGTCACAGACGTATTTCTTATATATAAAATTTGTTGACTGTATTGAATGTTGATTTTATTGGAATCAGCATTACTTATTCTCAATTAATTATCATTGCATTCACGTATTGTGAGCATGAAGAAGTCAAAAAACCCATTGTAGG